AAAATTTTTTTTTTTTTTTTTGTTACTTTACTGTTAGCCAAGAGAGAGAGCTTACATTCTTTTGTGTGAGGTTAAATACCTTGATTGATCGAATCGGCTTGATCAAAGTCTTGGAATTGTAAAATGTTCTGATGACAGAGAGGAGAGGTTTCCTGGTTGGGTAGGTTAGGCTGCTTGAGGTTACAGTTCACAATCAAAAAGTTCATTTCTAAGGTGTCTATGGCAAAGGTCAGTCGAATGGATCAGCGATGGAACACTCACATGGAAAGGAGGAGGTCGGTGAACTTCCCTTTCCAGGTGAAAAAAAAAAAAGATGAACATCGGAACTCGTCAGTTTCAATGTTCATCTTTTTTTTTTGGGGGTTCCAAGTTTTTTTGGGGGGTTCCTATCCCTTGATTTCGATGCCTGTTTTTGGCCATGTTAATTTTTTTTTTGACCAATAGGTGAATTTTGAATTAAAGTTCCTGGTGATACATACATTTGGAAGATGTGTCACCTTGGGAAAGGAAGTAGATCCGGGGAAAGATACGATTACATTCTTCCAGTTTTTTTTTGGTGTTGGGAAAATTTTTCTTTATATAATAAGCATTAATTTAAACAAATTTGATATATTTTGTTGCAGTTAATTAAAATTTCCATTTTTTCCAGTCTCTCACAAATAAAATGATGCAGAACTTTGCTCTTTTTCAGCCTTTATTTGCTGAAAGTCAGTGTTCATTTAATAGATATGTATACTTAAAAAAGATAAAATACCACTTATTGGACTGGAATGATATAGTAAACACTTCAATCAAAAGCCTTAAATTATTTTCCAGTAATGTTTAATTCAAAAAACTTTTGTCGACTAACGTTTAATCATAAAAACTTTTTTGAATTAACCCTTACTGGAAAATAATTTAAGGCTTTTGATTGAGGTGTTTATTATAGATGTGTATTGAAATTTATAAACTTTAGCAGATATTAAAATATTTAAATATCTGCTAAAGTTTATAAATTTCAATATAAGTAGGTACTGTATATATTTAATAATTTTCAGTGTTATTTTAAAGTGGTGACTAATTTCATACTGGAAGTTTTTATTTTAATTGTATTTATGTGTTTTTAATTATTTAAATATTATTTTAGCTTATGAGTACATAATTAATTATTCTCATGTTGTAAAATTATTAATTTAAATTTAGGCTGTGGTGGAATCTTAACTGAACCTAGTGGAACTTTTGAAATGAAACACGCTGCTTTTAGTAATACAAGGAATTTTATGATTGAATGTGTATGGTCTATAACTGTAGAAACAGGAAAAGTTATTGAATTAAGGTAAAGGTATTTTATTTTTACAATGAAATTTAAATGAAATATTCTGCTTTGTGATAAAAATAATTTGAACATGATAATGTTTCTTCATTAGGCAAATTATTAATTAATTAATTCTACTTATCACTAGTCTAACTTCGTATTTTTTTACTTCATTTAATTTTATACATGGGTATAATTCTTTTAATTACTATAACAAATTCTATCCTTTTATTTATAGGTTTTTGAATTTTCAACTTGATGATAATTTTTGTTATGAAGATACTGTTTTTATTTATGATGGGAGTAATCGAGATTATTCAAAATTATTAGGAAGATATTGTGGAACTGAAATACCACCTATTTTCAAATCAACTCAAAATTCTCTTACTGTATATTTCCGAAGTTATGAAGGTGCTAATGATAAAGGTTTCAAAGCTGCTTATAGGACAACTTATGGTAAGACATTTTATTAATTAGTTACAGGGTAATTCAAAGATGTTTGTAAATAGTTCATCTTGTTATACAGTCACTTATAAATCACAGAATATGATATAAGTGATACATTTATATTTAACTAAATGCCAGTGGCGTGCCATCATTGGAGGTTGTGGAAATGCCACTTCCCTTGTATTTTCTAAAATATAAATACATATTGTGCGATTATTTTTGTATTTTAACATACTTTGAATTACTTAAAATTAATATTTTATTATAACTGCATTATGTGTATTTTATTACAGATTTCTATATGCTATGTATTGCAGCACCATCTGTAGGAACTATAAAATGTATATAGTTGGTAGTGCATCTGCGCAACACATTCTGTCCTGTATCATCTTGTTCAATAAAGTGTGCTCTGTTACTTGTATCCATGAGAATCCATGTCCATCTTTTCTTATCTATTTTTGTGATTACTCAGGATTTATTTCTTCATAATTTGAAGTTTGGACTATTTACAAAAAGTCAAAATTAACTTTTGAGTCCATCTTTATCCTTATTACACTACCATAGAAGTAACAGTCACAAAAAATTTTTTGCTTTGAAGAACTCTTCTTAAAACACAGGTAAAAATTGGTAAAAAAAAAAATCCCAATGGTTAAAAAAAGATCAAGTGTCAGCCTTTCTCTGTAGGTTTCTGACACTTTTACAATTAAAAACACAATTTTTTAACCATTGAGATTTTTTTTACCAATTTTTACCTGTGTTTTAAGAAGAGTTCTTCAAAGCAGAAAATTTTTTGTGACTTTTACTTCTATGGTAGTGTAATAAGGATAAAGATGGACTCAAAAGTTAATTTTGACTTTTTGTAAATAGTCCAAACTTCAAATTATGAAAAAAAATTTTCTTATCTAATTCCAACGACCATACATACCACTATACATGTGAAAAACAACGATAAGATTGCTATTGTATATTCAAATATAAATTCATGTATTCATGAAGTGCTGTATTGTTGAATATAGGACAGCTTCCACAGTAAAAATATCTGAATCATGTAAAGCAGAATTTACAAGCATTCTCACATGCACTTTACAGAGCACCAACCTCTGGCAGTTTAGCTGGTGGCTGCTACACACCAAAATATTGTATAATGCTTCCAATGATTCTATCCCTTAGCCACTGGTAGGGAGCTATTTGACTAAGTGAATTGTTTTAAGATTT